ATTACATTTTTGGTCCCCCCATTTTTAAAAACTTTTATTTTGGCCCTTTTAATTTAATTTTTACACCAAATTCTTCTGAAATTGGCCCTTAATTTTGCTTTTCTTCTAATTTAGCATTTTTTTATTAATTATTATTATATTTTTCATATTTTTATTTTATATATATATATATTTTTTATTTTTTACTATTTTTTCTTTTAGATTATTATTATTATTTTCCCATAACGTTTTATTTATATATATATATATGTATTTTATTTTATTTTATTTTATTTTTTACTTTTCTTTACCAAGTATTCTTTTATATATATATATATATATATCTATTTCTTATTAAATATTATATTATATATATTTTATTTAGGGTTTCTTTTTTATTTTACTTCTTGTCTTTCTTATGGTAATTGTTATGTTTAATTTTGCAACTAGTTTTTTTTTTCATTTATGCATTTTTTCTCTTTCTCGTTACTCCAATTCAATTGACCTACTATTTGTTTTTTTATATTCTTTCAATTCATCAGCATGTTTTTTTATCTTAATTTAATTTTGCACTTTATTACATCTAACACTTTTCTTGATTTTTAAGGGTACGATTTAAATCCATTAAAGGTAAGTAGTTTGGGTCAATTGTTACCTTTTCATTTAGCTTTCAATTTTCTTAATAAAGACAACTGGAAATTAACTAGTACCGAAAGGGCAGTTCAAGGGTGCTAACCCTTCCTTGACTATAACCGACTCCCGAATCCGACATATCTTTGGTAAGATGCTGATCAGGTAAGAAATTAAGGTGTCCGATCAACCCATTTTTATCTTTAAAATAAATGATCGGTGGCGACTCTAACCATTTCATTCAAGTCGAAACCCAATTTCGGGCTCACCCGAAAGAAGGTTCCGACATTACTTTTGGTTGACTAAAAGTTTTTGTAAGAATAAGTTTTATATGAATTTAGATGTTAGGTTCGAATCTAATAAATTTGATCTAACGCAATTCAAATATTCGACAAGTAATTCAATTTCAAGGTTTGTTCAGATCTAAACTTGGGTTGTGGGAAAATTTTATGGCGCACGTTGGACATCGTAACATATCATTAAAGGACGTACTGAAACACACCACTAGCTAAATTATCCTTATTAAATAAATATTAAAAGGGCAAATTACACGTTTTGTACTTAAATTATCACTTTTGTTTCGTTTTAGTGTATAAATTTTGTTTTTTAAATATTAACGACAATGCTTAAGTGGTATGACATGTTATTTTTTATTTTTAATTACCATATCACCTTTTCCTTTATTTGTCGGTATTTTTAAATTACTTTTATTCAACCAATTAGGTGGTGACATGTGTCACAACCGCTACCTATGGGGATTAAAAATTTGTAATCACTTTTGTTCCTAGTATGAATTAAACTTCTCTCTTACATGAGAAACAAATCACTAAACTATTAAGCTAAACAAGTCATTTATTTAAATTTCATCACATTTTGTATTTAGCTTATATAACGGTATCACCATAAAATCAATATTTTTCGATGATTATAAGATTCAAATATAAGACACTTCAAATTAATCACCAAAAGCTTAGTCACTCAATTATAGTGTGATTTTTTTAGTATACTAAAATTAATACTTACTTATTCATCATTAAATTAAAAGACTAATTTTTTAGTTTATTTAAAAATAAAAAAATAATAATTTATATATTTTTATAAAAATTATATAAAATATTATAAAAAGTATGTTTATAATATTATAAAACATTTTATTTAATTTTAAAAATCAAGTTCATTATTTATTTGAAATAATGTTAATTTTAAATTATCTATTTAATTTTAAATAATTTTAAATTTAGGATAAATTATACATTTATTATCCAACTATTACTTTAGTTCCATACAATATTATTTAAAATTAAATATATAATTTAAAAATAATATTATTTAAAATAAATAATTAATATTATTTCTAATAAATAAATAATATGATTTAAAAGATTAAATAAATATTTTAAAATAATTTCATGATATTATAAATATACTTTTTAGAATAATTTAATATAAATTTTGTAAATATATACATAATTATTTAATTGTTTTCTACTTCCAAATAAAATGAAAAATTATTTTTTAAATTTAATATTGATATAAGTAATTATTAAGTTTGGTACATAATAAAAATAAAATTTACATTCTAGTTGAATGACTAAGCTTCGATCATTAATTTAAAGTGTCACATATTCGAATTTTATAATAATCGAAAAATATTTAATTTTGTGATGATACTATTATATAAGTTTAATACAAAATGCAGTAAAATTAACTTAAATTACTATTTTAACACAATAATTGAGTGCTATGCATTTCAAGTAAAAGGCCTATGTTTAATTTATGCTAAGAGCAAGAATACTTTCTTTTATTTTATCTCCATAGTTGGTGACATGTGTCAGCATTTAATTGGTTGAATAAAATTAATTAAAAATAATAATGGAGAAAACAATAGGTGATATGGAAAATAAAAAAATAAAAAAATTGACATGTCATGCCACATAAGCATTTTTGTTAATAGTTTTGAAAAAAAAAATAAAGTTTAGATACTAAAACGAAATAAAAATGATAGTGTAGGTACTAAATGTATAATTTACCATTTTAATATTTACTTAATAAGGACAATTTAATTAATGGTGTGTTTCGGCACATCGCTTTACTGGTGTGCTGCGGTATGTGATGTGCACTATAGACTCATCCGAGGTTGTGATTTAAAATTCGAATCCAACCCGGGGACTAACAACATTAGTCATTGCATTTTATGACAAGTTTAGTATTACTTTTGTCTCATTAAATTTGTCAATTATTAATTTTTTTAATTTTAAAATATTATTATTTTAAATTTATTATCTATAATAATATATAAAAATATATTTTTAAAAAAACTTTAAACAAGTAGTTTTAAAATATGTATTTTATAAACTATTGTTTTATGTAATAAAAATATAATAAATGTTGAGTCCATATAATTAAAGAGATTGAATTTATACTCAACATCTGAGGAGCAATTCTTGAGATAACCCTGAGAAACTACCAACGCCCAACCGTTGAATGCAAGAAACTATAGATGCGGTACTGCCTGAGGGGAGAACCGCCTTACACCCTCCACCTAAAATGAAGGGATAAGTCAAAAATCATAACCACACATGGAACAACAGAACCTTCTTACGCTGAAACCCTAGTAGGGAGTAACGTTGCAAACCAATCTAGGGTTTACATAGATGAAGAGGATGACTTTGATATCCAAGACGAAGAAATTATAACCAGTTGTGTTGACGGTGTACTGGCCATTTAATTTATCCAACGTCCTACAAACTAATGGAATAGAACATGGTCAATACAGTGGTGATAAAACTCTTAAGGCGGAATATCGGCATTAACGTACTTTCTAACAGTGTACTTATATTGCGTATTTAGTATGTGGTTTTCGTATATTAAATATATAGATACATGTTAGTATGTAGCCCATTTACAAAAATAAATCCAATTAAAAAAAATACTAAAACCATATTTTTTACAAGCCCGCTTTTCCACTTTATTTTTTACAAGCCCCCTATATTAAATATATTTTATAGCCGTTGACAAGTGGAAATATTGAACCCTTGTAAAAAACAATAAACCTAATCACGCTTTAGACATTACACCCGAATGGTACACCCATCTTCTTGTAGGATTGAACCTTCTCCTCGCGTGAAGAGATACAAAGACAATGCATTGAGGTATGTATAGGAGCTAACAAATGAAGTAACTTTTTGTATATAAAGTTGCGAAACTAATTAGACTACACTTTTTTTGAGGATGTTCAATGATGATCATAATTTTCACAGATGGAATAGTAGAGTAGATGAATTTAGTTTATGTCAATAGCTTGGGAATTGAACTCTAAAGATAATATTTTCTGACCTTCAACGACACCTAGACTATAACAAGTTCTCGATGAGCTTAAGAAATTGAATTCGTATACCCAGGTTGTTAATATAATTATATATATACAATAAAGCTAAGCTATTCCTCTAAGGCAATTAGTTAAAAGCTCTAACTTTATGGATAGATTCTTTCAGCTACCCAAATAAAGGCAAATAATATATATGTATATATATATACAATAAAGTTGAGTTATTCCTCTAAAGCAATTGGTTAAAAGCCTTAGCTTTATGGATAGATTCCTTCAGCTAGTTGAGAACAAGCAAATTAAATTAAATTTATTAAATGAGTATCGGCTAAAATAGACCAAGTGAGTTGAGGAACACTTGTTATAGTCAACTTCACGTAAGCACTTAGGAATTTTGTTTTTAGACCGATATTTAGGCACTGTCTTTGCTAAAAGAGTCTATAAAGCTTGAACAAATAGAAGATTTCAAAAAAACTGAAATGGAAGTGTTCTAAAAAGGTCTAGTAGTTGAATATGCTAGTTGCTTCATTTTATCGGCATCCGATTGAAATGTTGAGCGGAGATAGAGGGGCATGCCATGATGTTTGGAAAGATGTAGCGTCATTAATTTCAGGCACCATTGAATTCCATAACCAAGACAATCAATGAGTCTTGTTCATCCTAATCCTCAAATCTGAGATCTCCTTCCTTAGGACCCATTCCGAGGAGATGACTAAGTTTACCTCTCCCTTTAAGGAAAGTACGAACCAGTTGTGACCACTTAAGGCAGTTTTTTCTATTCAACATATAAGCGGCTTGTATGTTTTGTAAGTCACTTATCAAATTAGAGTGACTTCTCTCACCCATTGTGCCTCCTTGAGCAGTTTTTCTACCACTGTAGTCACCCGTATCACCTATATTTTGTTGATCAGGTGCCATACTCTCTTAAGAACTAAGAAAAACGCTCAACAAAGAGATTAAGACCAAAAATCGACTAGCTTTGATACCATGACAAAAGCCATGAATTTTATTGTAATTCACTCTTATTAAACATGTAGGGAACTTCCAGTTATATATACAAGCTTAGGCCTTATCTTAGGTAACTTCTAAACTAGGTAAGAGACTAATTCTAGTAATAAAAAGAATCCCTTAGATTTAGGGATACTAACTAGATATAATATTTATAAATCCAACTCAATCTTCTTAACTTAGGTAACTAATCTCTGACACAGGGCAATGATACTCTCCTGCACAAAGGTAAGGCACAATTTAATATCCTCGAGGCATCAAAAGTAAACCAAACATGAAAAGACTGAAGACATCGAAAATAAAGTTATTCTAAAAGTGTAAAATCTAAACGAAAAACAATCAGTATACCAACACAGCTGCACAGAAAACAAGAAAGCGGAACAATACAATCTAAATGACAACAGTCATAAGAAGACCAAGATCATTATAGCAAGGTTTACATATATTACGCATGAGACTTAATAGCCTTTATTCACACAACCACCAAAGAGAATTTCAAACATTTATTCCATTTCACAGTAATGGAGAAGGTTGTTTTGACATAACCTACAAAAATTATAATGTGACACTGAAGAACAAAGCTGTTAAATAGAAGAGTCTACTTCCAACTTCTTTATTATTAGGTAAAAATTTAAAAGAGAGAGTGTATTCTAGTCTGGAAGGACATTAACTACATAAACTAATAAAAGAGCAGGGAATAATTTCAAAAGGGCAGAAGGTGCATTCTTTACAAACCAGTTTATAGAGAAATGAGAATAACCTAAATATAACATGCAACAATCATCCCGTGGTTTTGTCTATGCAACCCAAAGTAACTATATGACATCTAAAATTCACATGGCATAACTAAAAGAACAGACACACACTCAAGTTCTACCTTGTTGAGAAAATTATACAGAGTCAAGTAAAGGATAGATGACTAAAGTCGTCTTTCTTAACATAGCTGTATCATGTGCAAAGAATACATCCTCCATTAGTCTAATGCACCCAATGAATCTAGAAAGCTATTAATGCAATCTAACTGTAAAACAAACAAGGAATAACATCTTTATTACAGTATATTTTGTACTAAAAGGAATAATATTTCAAAAAAGCAAGGCCCTTTCAAAATGAACTTTAAAAATTTTACTTCTAAATCTAAATAATGCCTCGCTGACATATCACAGTGACAATATGTCATATAGTTGCTCAATTACTTCAAATGGTTCGTTTTATTAAAAGTATGAATTCGTAAAAAAAAAAAACCCTAACCTTCAGAATTCTTGTGGAAAGTAAGATTGATAAGATCTTCTTGCTTCAATGTAGCCCCAGTAACCGGATGTTTCCCATACTTCCTAACATAAGGAATTATATTCCTTCACCAGAAAACAATAAATAAACCCTTAATTGCACTTACAGATATATCAAGCTAAATAATTCAAATTGAAAATAAAAAGATACCAACATCAAATCGAAGACGCTGCCATCCTTGGTGCATACGGGCAACTCAAAGGGCGTGAATGTAAGACTGAATGAGAAAACGAAAAAGGAAAAGAAAAAAACAAAATGTTAAAATTTTGCAACTAAATAAGCATGAACTTAATATAGATACAAGAAAATATGGGAACGGAAAGAGAGGTATACGCGCAGCAATAGAAGGGAAGGCGTTTGAAAGGGGTACGATTCTCTTTGGATCTAGCGCCGCCCCACTCGGTAGCCCATTCCGTCTTCGTTATGAACATTCGATCCTTGCTGTGCTATTTCTTCCCCATCTTCGCGAACTTCTCTGGGGCGATTCAATTGCGTTGGGTGTTAGGGTTTATGATTTGGGGGAGCGGGAATTGTATCGTTTTCTGATTTAGATATTATGGGGGAGGTTTTGACTTTTGACCGTTTTGAGGCGGTGAGTCCTGCTGAGTGCCTGCTCCGATGATTACCGACTTTTTGAATTGGCAAAAACGACCCAATTGAAAGCCCGTTTAAAGAATTGGGCTTTCTAAACAAATTAAGACTTAATTATATTTGAGGTCTTTAATTTTTATTTTTATTTTCTTGAAAATTTTATTGCGATCATTGAAAAAAATATAAATATAAAAAAATAAATAAAAAATAAATTATTAATTTTAAAAAAAGAAAGAAAGATGACGATAATTTGGCAAGCATTTAAATTATACTTAAATTGGTAGATACTACAATTACCGTTAGATAAAAAATTGGGGTGTGCGCCCCTCTCTTACCCTTAGGGTGCGTTTGATTCACGGAATATAAGATTATCAGTGAGAATAAAATATTATCAGTGAATAGGATTACTGGGAATGTTACATTACTGTGTTTGGTTGGTTTGACAGGAATGTAAGATTACCGTGTTTGGTTGAAGGAATAAAAGATTACTGGAATGTATATTTTACCAAATTGTCCTTGTTTTATATTTTTAACAAGTAAAATTCTAAATATTTAAATAAAAATTATTTATATAAAAATTCTATATGTTGATAATATATTACTTGAGTATTTAAATATATCATGTATTATTTTTATTTTAACTAATATTAAATTTTACATAATTTATGTAAAAATATATTAAAAATATATTAATGTTTACATTGTGTAAACTAGCTTCAGTTTATATGTGACTCATTCACTGGGAGGTTTCTTGTATTTTTCAATCGAAAAGGTTACATTCTTCTATATATAATAATTTATCATAGATATTCATAATAATAATAAGATGTAAATTATTTTTGTTATCTAAGATATAATATTTATTATATTTTCTATATACAATAATTTATTTATTTATCTTTTATATTTATACTTAATTATGTATACTTTATCATTATTATTTATCTCATGAATTTATATTACAAAAACATAATTCAAATAAGTAAAAAAATAATAGTCTTGTGATATAAGACACACATTTGATTGATTATACTATGCATCTACTGGCCTAAGATACTTGCATTCCTCTATAACATTTCCCTTTATCTTAGATGGCATTGGAATAATATATATATTCATTGCATTAGTAACTTAATAATAGACATACTGCTCATAGGCTCATAGCATTATCATTTTCAATAGCGTATACATACAATAACCACAATAGTAATATTCATATCCATGTCTTTTTGTCTTCAAGAATTCAACTACCTTTCATCATATCACTAGAAACCATCACAGAGTTCATAACAACAATTTGACACACTCGAAGCAAGCGAGAGCGGTGCAGATTTGTGACAAAACGATCGTGCATTGGTTATTCATATACGAACAAGCTTGGATGAAGCACATGCAACAGCAACGATCAAGCACGATCTATGCAGCACGATAACTATTTGCCACAATTTTCCTTTAGAAATAACAGTCAACATATTTCTCTTAATCCTCTTAAAAATGCGGTATGAATGTACTTTTGGATGGATTACTGCAACTAATTCAATTTAGAATTTGCATCACCCAGTGATGTGATCAACAAAGAACATTAAAGCATAACAACATCAAAAGAATGATCTAATTTAGTTTCCCTTCAAATCTTCTCATGCTGTATCTGCATAAAAGATTTAAGTAATCCAATCAAATGTTGATCAGCAAATTTCCAACACAAATCATGCAATCTCATTTGCCAGACTGCCGCCCCCTTACACCCATATCACCCTACCATTGCTGAATCAACAAGGGGCTGCGAGGTCAAGTTTATAGCTGAATATAATGACTGCTACCGTTTTTTCCTTGAATGATTCTTTACAGATGATTTAATAACCTAATTCGGTTCATCACACCATGTGGTAACTCACCATAAATAACTACTGAGCTACCTTTGCTTCAATACCTAAAAATACAGAACTAAAATCCATTTCCACCATGACACAGTAAAAGGCTAGAAGCATCAATAACATGCAATGCAATTCTTGTAAAGAAATTTGACAAACCAAAATATTGATACGTATGACGGACAATGATATATAATTATGTGCTCAACAAAGCCACAAATTCAGTATCTTCGGCTCCACAACATGTTTTCAACTGGACATATGCAAATCATGATCAACAGACGGCAGCGGCTAACCTGAAGTTCTTGTTCATAGTGTTTAAGTTTTTCCCTGCACTCCTTTAGTTGCTATAAACCTCTTTGAGACAATGTATCATGTCAAATAAAATTAAACAACAGGTAATATCATTAAGATACCTTAGATTTTTCCGCAATTCCAAAACAACCTGATGTCTCTCTTCTAACCTTACTTCCATCAGCGAAATCTGATGAGTCACGAAAATATCACTCGCCTTTTCCTACCACTACACAATTGTGGAAATGAAAAACCAAAACATACACACACATAAACATGCACGTCTTTCTTTGAGTCTTGGAGGAAAGGAGGATAAAATTGCCCCCTAACGAAAGAATGTTGGTTGGATTCTGTTAAAACACCTTGGATAATGATATTCTCGCTCTAGTGATTACATGGTAATGCAAGCACAAGAATGCATATGCACACATAACAAATGCATTAGCCTACTCCTAAATGCTATCATATCCATCTTCCTACACCAGATTTCCTAGAAAAATCAATTCAAAATTCCAACAATGTAGCAGACCTCTGTTTTAAGTTTTTCTTGGCCTTGAATCGATCTTTCCATTTCTTTTCATATGAAAACAAAACATAACTAGTAAAAAGAAAAGGAGACTACACACAAACTTGCATCGAAACAAAGTTGAGGTTGCCTGATTGTAATCATCAACAGAATCAGATGAAAGTCCTCTACCATGATCATAGCTCGTGTAGCTGCAAAATTGAAAATTAGTTTAAAAGACTTCTCATATTAACACACACACACATGAAAAAGTATCTAGAAACATTACTAAAACTGAAGTGATTGATCCAAGGAAAAATATTGAAGCTTAGCGCTCAGCTCATAAAGAAGAATTAATAGAGTCAACATATTATGAACTACAGGAAGACCTTAGACTGGAAACCATTGACATAAGAAAGCATATAGCAACAGCTCATGCAAAGGAAGCACAATAGAATCAGTATAACATGTGAAGAACTCTATTACAGAAAATTTAGTGAAGAAAAACAGAAAACATTAAGTAACCAATTGGGGAGTGATACCCATTATGTCTCTTTAGTCGTTGCTCCTTGTCCTCGTCAACATTTTTATAACCATTGGTTCCAGTAGGCTCCGTATCTTGATCCAAATTCAGCTTATGATCCTTATCTCAATCCTAAACATGCGCCCTTGAACATGATCCTCCACTTCTCTGTTGTGATCGCTATCCAATGAGTATTCTCCAGCTTTATCATGTTCATGATCCTCATATCCTCTTTCTCTTCAAGAATCATTGTCCCGAGACCGATCACGCTCTCTGGACCTATCACTATATTGATCACAATACTGTTCTCTACCATGATCTCTTTCTTTTTCCTGTCCTATAGGCCTATCCCACTCACTCCTTCTAGGGCGGTCCTGACTAAAATTTGATCTGCCCCCTCTGGTGGTCACTTCATTAACTCTCACAACTCTACCGCCAATAGTCTAGTTACAATTTCAAGTTTGAACAATGTCAAATCTCTACAAGTATTAAAACAAGAACGAAATCATTTCATGTTCCATGGAACCACCAAGCAATACATTCTTTACCCCAATTGTATTTGTAATCGCGGCACAGTTCTCGACATTTTCTGTCCAGGATCTTTATGATCTTTGGGAGCATCTTCAAACAACCTCATTTCTGTCATCATTTGCTGGACGATTCTTGTTTTCTTGTCTACCCTCTACTTTCTGACTCGCCCTCGCCCTGTTTACCTTGTCAAACTGGAGGAATCTCCTAAATGCTCAAAAATGTTGTCCATGGATCAATCACAAAAGACTGGTACATTCACCGATGATAATCTTCAGTTTCAGCGTAGGATCCTTGAAAGGTCAGGGCTTGGGGATTCAACATATCTTCCAGAGGCGGTACTCAACATTCTCCCTAACCCTTCAATGCATCAAGCAAGAAAAGAAGCCAAGGTTGTCATGTTTGGTGCTATTGACGAGCTTTTGGCTAAGACCTCCGTAAAACCCAAAGACATTGGAATTTTGATTGTTAACTGCAGTTTGTTTAATCCGACACCATCGTTGTCTGCCATGGTTATCAACCATTACAAGCTTTGAGGGAATATTCAAATCTACAATTTGGGAGGAATGGATTGTTGTGCAGGGTTGATCTCAATAGATCTTGCGAAACATCTTCTTCAAGTCCGTCCCAACTCCTATGCACTGGTTATCAACATGGAGAACATACCCTGAACTGGTACTTTGGAAACGATTGCTCGAAACTTGTATCAAACTGCTTATTCAGGATGGGAGGGGTTGCAATACTGCTCTCTAACAAATGTTCTGATAAAAGAAGATCCAAATACTGCACTCACAGGGGTGCAGCACGGGGGAGAAGACGATTACCAGTCAGAGGCAAGCTCAAGGGAAAGAAGGGTATTTGGAAAGGAAAAATACCTAACACATATATGAGAATAATATTCCCAGGAATAAAACACTAAAATTGACTGTTGATATTAAAATATTACCTTCACTTGAAAATATTATTTGATCCAAATATGGGTATCCTTCATCAAGAAAAAATTATGCCTGATAAAAAAAATTAAATTCCTTGATCCAAACGGGCTTTTAATACCTATGTCATTAGTGACTATCCCTCTAGTCAATGTCATTTTCAATCTTTCAACATGCGTTTTTTCTCCAAGTGTAATGTGTCTTATAGGTACCTAAAGGTATAATGTCAAAACTAATACCTCAACGTTTGTCAAAATGATTATTTGATCCTTATTTTTTTAAGTATTTTAACTCTCAACATTTTAATTTTTGGTCAAAATGACTCATATTGAAAGAAA